AATATATATATATATATATATATATATATATATACACACACACACACACACACACACACATGGTGGGCAGAGTGCAGACAGCCCATTGTCGAACTTCGCACTCAAAACAAATACTCTATATATGTGTATTTTTAATTTAACTGTAATAGGATGGTGAGCATCTGTAAACTACTATGGAAATTGGAACAAACCATCCCATATATAGTTTTTTTTTTATAAATACGTTTTTATTAACCAAATTCAAATTAAAACTAGTATAAATGCTGATTTTTAAAAGATCTGTGTTTAATAATGTGATTACAGTTTTGTGCTTCATTTTAAACGTTCCTAAGTTATGATAATAAAATAGACCGACTTTGCTGAAGTATTCCTTACTTGTGTTTAGTGGTGTTATTCTCATTTTACTAATCGTACACAATAAACTGACACCAAACTATTGCTTCGTTTTGTGGAAACTGTCATAAAACCTGCATCAGCATACATCACAGAAAGATTAGGATGTAGAGTCATCACTGGCCAATGTACCAGAAATATTCTATACTTTGTTATTTGCAATAAGTTTTGTAGTATGCGTGTTCGGTCCATCCACGGTGAAACTCTGCAACAACATATTATGCTCGACGAACTGGAATGGAATCGGATATAATTGATGAGGGCTTTCTATGTAGTGAACTCACATATTGATTGAGATACCGAAAGGTAACAGGAGAAGGAGACTCAAATGTCTATAAATCCATCCTAGAAAAATGCCCTTATGGAATAACAGTTGAAAAACTGGAATGTGCAAATGATGCTGTCAAATACTATACAAAATCATTATTTGACTTCACAAAGGAAACCACCAAAAACTCTCATTATCTTACAAAAAAAAAATAGAATCCCGAAAATGAAAAAAAAAAAAAAAAAAAAGTATTACAGCAACAATTATGTGGAATAAAAAAAATGTGGGTTTCAACAAAAGAACTGAAAGAACAAATACAGAAAGGCCCATTACACGTTCTTGGTGTCCAAAGGTGTAGTATAGCCAATGAACTAATTGAAAAAAACATGGTTGTAAAACTACCAAAGCCATTACTGGCAAATATAATGGATGATGTTAGCTATTTGGTAAGGAAAGCTGGCAGATTACTAACTGATGCAACTACAAATAGGGCAGAGACATACATGCATCCTGTTTGTAAATTTATTGGAGGGAAGGACTTCAACAGATTTCAACGTGGGTCATACAATCAACTTTGCCAATGCAGGCCTATCATGGAGGAGTTTCATGGCACTCATGTGCTTTGAAAAGATCAACTTCTAAAACCACTTCCATTTAATTCCTTAAAATATTTTAGTCAGTTTGATAACATGTGACCAGTCAAATTTATTGCCTAAAATGACAAAATGCTAGGAAATCTATCTAGTGCCATCTCTTGTCAGAAAACAGATGTACTGGTTTACACTTTAACATTCTTTTTCAATCATTATGTATTTAATGCCATCTTCTGGGAAAAGTGAAACATATTTTCCCATTATAACTTTTCAGATGGACAATGTTTAGTTTTAATTATTTTTATTTACTGACACATTTCAATTTGACTGTTTTCATGTCTAGTTATTGACAACCATTTAACTAATGCTTTAAATGTCAAAGTTTTTCATGTAAATTTTATTTTAGTTATTTTTACTGTATTCAGATATACAATTTTATTTTAATTCTGTAAAACATTACTTCAAACAGAAAAAGTTCTTCACTGTACAATAGTTTCCTTTTTTAAATCATTATATTAACAACATATCTATCCTGAAAGAAAATAAAATACCAACAGGTTTAACCATTTTTGAGGAAAATGTGAAACCAATTCTAAATTTTGACTTTAAAAAACAATTTTTTCATTGTATAATAGATTTCTAAGTAATGATACCTATTAAAACAATATAAACTTTGGTTACATAATTATCATGTTTCCTTGCAGAATAATAATCACATCGGTAGGTTATGCAAAACTAAAGTTCTGTGTTTTAACTATGGTAAGCCAGACCCTAACCTTAATACCACTTAACAAACAAACAATAAAGGTTCTTACAACTTTGTCACAAGCTTAATTTAACAAACTTTTAATATACTTAAACAAACAATAAAGGTTATTACAACTTTATCACAAGCTTGATTTAACAAACTTTTAATATACTTAACAAACAAACAATAAAGGTTCTTACAACTTTGTCACAAGCTTAATTTAAAACACTTTTAATTACTGACATTAAATACAAAAGCTTTCAAGTATTTATCATATAGACATGCTATAGCTTAAAACAAGTAGACGAGTACACACAAGAGAATGGAACTGATCTCTATACAAGAGAATGTTACAAAGATCTTTATTTGTATTGAAAATTGCCCATGATCAGTAGGCTATGCAACAGCTTTAAGAGAAATGGAATGCAGTATCTTTATATGTAAATATGATACTGAATACATAGAAATTTGATATATAAACAAAAGAAAAATGCAGTTACTCACTATCTTCTCCAGGGCATGGCATGCCCGGCAGAGGTGGTTCATTGGGAAAAACTAAAACAAAGGAAAATATTTTGTTCACAAAAGTACAGTAATAGCCTCCATATTACTTAAAAAAGCTTCTAATTTATACTATTAGAACTTCAAAAACATACTTTTTTTAGTTAAAATCTTCTCAATATAAAAGCGGAAAATACTCGTATGGTTCAGTATTTTCAAACAATCAATATATAAATTGTTATAAGGTAAAACTTTTAAAAATTAAGAAATATGCAACTTCAAGTTTGTCCAAATCATTACGTGTTATGCAGTTTTTACAATTTTGGATTCCTCTAAATGTTGCTTAAATGTTTATCACACAAAAATTGAATTGTTTGAAAATTATTATACACATGCTTATTCGTCTGCTTCGACTTGTGACTTTTTCAGTCTAACTTCTGATAGAAATGTGCCCACCTCCCCTCAAGTTCTCAATGGTGAAATGTTTGGCCAAAATTAGGATTTCCCTGTGTTTGCATTTTATTTATCATGTGTTAAACATCAGTTTGCTCTACATTCTCTAAAACAAGTGTAAAAAAATATTCAATTTTTAATTGTTCATTAAAGACTTAATCATTTCATGTTTTTAAGGCACAAGTCATATAAAATACTTTTTTAAAATTAATTAACATGAGATAAAATTACTTTTGTTGCCCATTTTTTCATTAGCTGATGGAAAAATAATACAAAGCATCATTGTTTCAGTATAAAGCTCAATTTACATTTACTGACAAACGATAACAGAAAATTATTCGTTTCATTTAATGAAATTCAGACATAATAAACATAAAAAAAAAGAGGATATACAGGAGTATGGAATTTGGTTTCTGGGCAATACTGGCAAGATATTTGCATTCACAAATATCACATCAAACCAGTGATTAATCAGTGATGCAAACAAACAGGAAACAGCTGATAAAGTTGCAACTGAATGGTTTATAACAACTTTTGCATGTCTATTAGTGTTTGTACTACAAGTAATACTTTTAATATTATAATTTTACCAATGTAATAGTTTACAGTTAACATAGGAAACTTACATTCTGTAAGATTTATAATTAAAAACACCTAACTTATTTTCTGACATTGCATATTATATGTAAAAACTCAAGACAAATAAGGAATCAGTTGTGCATTGTAATATCCAATACTGAACTACTGTAAAAAGGCCTTAAGTCTCTTTTTCTCCAACACATCAATTGCACAAATATATGCCTTAAGTCACTTTTCTCTTACACATATATTGCACAAATATAAGCCTTAATGAAAGTTATCCCTAAATTTGTGAAAAGGTTTTGAAAGTCACTTTTTTCTCTTATAAATAAATTGCACAAATGTATGCCTTAATGAAAGTTAACCCTAAATTCAATCTTTTTCCTTGAAAAAAAAGCATGTTTATTACATCATATACTCACCATGAATTGTGATTTCAGAATCTTTGTTTAATTCATACAGTCGTATAGCTTCTTCCAACTCGGCTTGTGATGAAATGGTACAAGGATCACCTGGTATGCAAGAAAATAAAGTGAATAAACTTGCTTATAAAGGAACATTTTTTTGAAAAACTTGTATTATTTGAAAAGATTCGCATCAGCGTTCACAAAAAGATGGGTGTGGCCAGCTACGAAATAGTTGTGTTTAGGGGTTATCTTCAAGAAAAAAAAATGATTTGTTTGCTAAAACTCATCATACAATAGAATATTATGTTACTTTGATTTAAATAACATTAAAAAGTTATTTTCATAAGAATACTAATATTTTTGTTCTATTTATCAATTATCTCTTATGCCAACCTATGTTATGCAATATATACGCAACTACTTCCAGGGCTCTTTCCCCTTTTCAAAGACTTTTAATTCCAGCACTTGAATTATTAGTAACTTCCATCTCCACAGTAGAAATCTTAAGCCTATTCTTCAAAGTAATTTATAGACTGAGTGAAATGAAATAATACTGACATTTAATGTTTTTGACTTGTATACATGCCATGAGAAACCCTACATAACAATCTTTCCGTAATATATTTCTTGCAGACCTACAATACATGCACATATTTAGGTAAACTAGCACTCCATTCTGAAGAAATGGGAAATTAACTACAATCACATTCTTTCTAATTTACAATATTCACATATTACAAGTTTATTTCAAATTATTATATGATCTATTGTGATTTAAAAATATTTTCATTTTTCAGACATCATAGTGGTGTGTGAATGGATTAACATCTAAAAAAATAATTAGCCAAATTGGTTATAATTTTTTGAGCATCTTAGCTAAATCTATCTTGCAAAGTATCATTAGGTTTGTTTAGGTAATTTTCTGACACTGAAATATCTTATAAAATAACTATGTATGCTCACTGCTTTGAATGTTTTTATATTAAAGAAATGAAAAAATGAGCCCCTATTTACAATTTATATCTTGTCACTACTGGGACATCGTAATATTAGTCAAATCTAGATAACATGCCATCAAATAAAAAGTCTATTATTGCAAACCTTGGCATGATCATTTGGTAACTAGTTAAGATATAACCTGTCCTTTATCTTAATACTCTATTTTGTAAAAGGCCCAACAGATCACTATTTTTAACATTAACCTTTTTTTTGTATAACATAAACTAACAAACTACACACACAATTGAAACCATACCTTTAATGCCAAAACAGGCAAGATACCAAGTCATTTGAAATGAAAACATGTTCGTTACAGAAAAATTACTTAGCTTTTCTTTCACCAACTATGTTCTGTAGTAACTGTTCTAATTAAACAAGCATTTGTTCTTAGCTTATAACTTCAAGTTAAATTCCAGCATTACTTTTTATTGGATTTTTTTTTAAATATAAACTTTCAGTTCAAAGAGCAAAACAATCTTGTCTAATTTAATTATTATATCAGGCTTCAAGTCCAAATCTCACAAGTCACAATCAGAATCAATGCACGGGTGAAACGTACAGCACATATACACGCACACAAAACATACGTAGTTACTAACTTTGCAGCTATCACTAATGTGTGTCAAGAGATAGCACACCTATATGAGTGTAACAGTCCCATTAAACTCTAACTTTATAGGCTATCATGTCATAAAAATATCTGAAAGTGATAAGAGTTAGCTTTTGTGTTAAATTAACTGATTATAGCTAAATGCCACAACTAATGTAATTTTGGTTATAGATCAATGAGACAAACAATTTTCAGGATTTTCCAGACCCATTGAACTTTTTTCCAGGACCCTTTTTGGGGGAGTATAACAGTCACAGATTTGTTAAGCAGACACAGTGTTTTAAAAGTATAATTAGTCTAAATAAAGTTTATCAAAGCATTCAAGGGCATTAAATCAAGAAGGAGTACTTCCAAAGAGCCAGTTAATTTTTTTTATAATGAAAGTGATTTGTAGCTGCAACAGTTTATGCATGACTAATGATCTTAATGGATTATGAATCAATGATTTAAATATTTTGTCAATAACGTTAACCTTCATTGAAAAATTTCACTAAAAGTTACAGAAATTCATTGCAATTTACAATAACTGTCTGTATTATGATGGCTTAAATAATTTTTTATTTTTTTCATCTATTTCCTCCACAGATAGTTTCAACCATCTTATCTTTCGATGTTTGTTTGAAATTATTATTCTATTAGGCTACATCATCCAAAACATCAACATCTTTTTAAAACTTCTTCTTTGACTTTTTTATTATTATTATTATTATCAGTTACAACCTTTCTCTTTTCACCATTTTGCTCTTTCTGATAATCAAAGAATGCATGGTGTTTCTGTCAAGCCTTCACCACTGACATTTTGAGCTCTAGAATAATACTCGCATTCTTCCAACAGAATTGATGTTATCATCCAGGACCAGGTGTGATGTAGGATTTTTCTGAAATATTCCCAACTTTAATCTTCCTGATAATACTGATCATGACTGTATAGTAAAAGTACTTGCACAGTTTCTCATAGCAGGAAGTCATCTAATTCATTATTTGATTTCCAAACTCATAAAGCTTTGTCTAAAACATCTACTAACTGATTTATAATTTTGTTATTTATTTATTTCAACCTGACAGGAATTTAGGTCAAAGGAAGAGAGCACAATAAGACGAATTGAGGGCTCTACCCAACGGGGTGTTCAGGAACAGTTGTTCCTTTTTGTCACACACGTGTTTCATTTTGGACTAAACCGAAATTTTGTTTTGAATTCAGTGGGAGTGTAAGAAGAGAGTGTAATAAGGAGAATTGCAGACTCTTCACTTTGAATTTTGTCACACTTTTCTACCTTTTAAGCATTTTGCAGACACGAAGCTACTGAACACATGCCATCTCCATTTACAGCCACACACCTTGAATCAAAACACAAAATATCTGTAAAAAGTGAATGGTCCACAGAGGTTTGCTCAGTTAGCTTCTCAACAAAAAGCACAAAGACGTATTTACAATTCAGGCTGAAATCATAGGCTTGTTTGTTAATAATTACTTTTTCTGATAGTCATTTCTTAGCTTGTTTATTCTAAGTTCAGTGTTTATTTTTCTTATTTTACAGTGATTCTGACTTTTACATCTACTTTCAGTAATTTTGCCCATGTGTTCCGTACGAGCACAATGTACTTTTCATACTTAGCATGTAATTTCTTGAAGTCATCAGCCAAAATTAGCATAACAAGCTTGTCACCTTATTTCACTTAAATACCTTCGCCACTGAAAGAAAAAAATCATAACATTGCTTGGAAAACACCATTCTTCTACCAATGTCCTAATGTTGGAATATGATGCATTTTGGCTACCAGAAACTTTTGCTTTATGTTTCATGGCCTAAGTTTTAAGAAAACTGTTTATTGTAAAAGTTAGGATTCTACAAGTTTTATGAGCTCTTTGTATTTATGGTCTAGTGTTTTAGTTGAAAAACCATCATGTTATGAACACAGTAACTACTTGTACTTGTGTTCAAAAGTTCTGCACCAAAACATACCAACAGCTTTGTTCCTACTAATCAGATGGGCATACAAAGTTTAAATGTGCGACATGTAGGTAAAAATACCAAAAATATGTGAAAATATGTATAGTTGCTCAATGGGTGCTATGGAAGGTGCAAAAAATGTTAATTACAAAAAATGACTTATACTGAGGCTCATTCCCCTCTTGCCCACACTATCCACATATTTAATGAGGTTAAACAATATTTGTAAAATATGCACTATTTCAAAAACATGTTTTAACAACCTTTTATAAAAAACTGTATAGTTATGAAATATAATACAGACTTTAACAACCTTTTATAAAAAAACTGTATAGTTGTGAAACATAATACAGACTTTAACCACCTTTTATAAAAGACTGTATAGTTATGAAACATAATACAGACTTTAACCACCTTTTATAAAAACTGTATAGTTATGAAACATAATACAAACTTTAACAACCTTTTATAAAAACTGCATAGTCATAAAATAGACAATACAGATAAAATAACACTTTAGATCCATAAAAACCATGAAGCTCATAGACATAAAAACAACTGTACAAGATGAAATCATACAAAATTCAAACCATAAGAAACCTCTAGTACAGAATAATGTATTTACAGCATATTAAACATATAAATAATCCACAAATATAACTCTTGCTATTCATCACAATGATATCTAAATATGTTTTATGACCAATAAGGATTTCAACAACTATCATAACACCTGGATCCTCCAATCATATGTGAATACCCTTCTGTTAAGATTGAGCCACTGTATTCTTAGTTTTGTAGAGGATTGGAATGAAAAAGGGTAAGGTACAAGTGTAAAACAACATTATGTACACACAGTTAATTTTGTCAAGAAACACATAGGAAAGACATTTACAAGAGTTGCGACTGTTGACAGTTTTCAGGTTCTGAATATTTTTTGCATAAAGCAAATCAATAGTTGACATACCTGACATAAGTTGTATAGTTGACCTAGAAGGTTAATATTGAAATAGCAGATGTAATGTGACTTACATATTATAACGTAATTCTTCTTTGCTTTCACACAAGGGTTCTTAGAATTACTTCTAAATGGTTTGCTTCTTTTTGATGGTTTTATAAGATTTCTCAGCAATGTGGCTAGTAACTGCTACCTCTCCCCTTGTTTACAGTATCACCATCTTGCTGGTAAGTGCCATCTCTTCCCCCTGTTTACAGCATTACCACGAGGCTACTAAATACTAGCTCTACGCCTTGTTCACAGAATCCCCATAGTGAGTGCCACCCTCCCCTTGTTTACAGTGTCATCTTGTGACTAGTGAGTGCTATCCCTCCCCTTGTTTCCAGTATAATCATGTTTCTAGTGAGTGCCACCCCTCCCCTTGTTTGCAGTGTCATCATATGGCTAGTGAGTGCCACCCTTCCCCTCGTTTACAGTATCACCATGTGGCTAATGAGTGCCACCCCTCCCCTTGTTTGCAGTGTCATCATGCAGCTAGTTAAGTGTCACCCCTCCCTTTGTTTGCAGTGTCATCACATGGCTAGTG